GTGGTGTTCTTTTTTTTTCTTTTTTTTTTTTTTGGTCTTTTTAAGACAAGGTTTCCCTGTAGCCGCAGCTGACCTGGATTTGTTAATGGAGACCAGGCTGGCCTTCAACTCACAGAGGTCTCCTGCCTCTGCCTCCCGAGTGCTGGGATTAAAGGTGTGTGCCACCATGCCCAGCTATAAGTTTGGATCATGTGGTTTTTGTCTTTGAGTCCATTTACATGAATTATGACATTTATTGACTTGTGTATCTTGAACCATCCCTGCATCTCTGGAATAAAGCCTACCAGATCATGGTATATGATCTTTTTGATGTGTGTCTATATGTAGTTTGCAAATATTTTGTTGAGAATTTTTGCATCTTTGTTCACTAAGGATATGGGTCTATAGGTTTTTTTTTTTGGGTTGTGTCTTTACCTGGTTTTGATATTAGAGTGATACTGGCTTCATAGAAGGAATTTGGGTGTTCTCCCTCTGTTTCTATCATTTTGAATAATTTAAGTAGTATTGGTTGGCGGTCTTCTTTAAATGTCTGGTAGAATTCTGTGTAAATCCATCTGGGACTGGACTTTTTTTAGTCAGGAGGTTTTATATTACTGTTTCAATTTCCTTATATGTTATGGCTCTATTTAAACTGTTGATCTCTTCTTGGTTTAACTTTGGTGGTTCCCATGGTTTTAGATATCCATCCATTTCTTTTAGGTTTTCAAATTTAATAGAGCATAGGTTTTTAAAGTACTCCCTTGTAATCTTCTGAATCTTTTGGGTGTCTGTTGTGATGTTTCCCCTTTCATCTCTGATTTTGTTGATTTGGATTTGCTCTCTTTTGGTTAACTGGGCCAAGGGTTTTTCCATCTTTAGCTTTTCAAAGAACCAGTTCTTAGATTCATTGATTCTTTGTATTGTTTTCTTTGTTTCTATTTCATTAATTTCTGCTCTGATTTTTGTTATTTCTTCTCATCTGCTGGGTTTGGGTTTTATTTGTTCTTGCCTTTCTAGAGTCTTGACTTATAATTTTAAGTCATTTAATTGTGCTCTTTTTTTATTTTTTAATGTAGGCACTTAGAGCTATAAACTTCCCTCTTAGGACTGCTTTTAAAGTGTCCGAGAGGTTTTACTGTGTTATATTGTCCTTTTCCTTTAATTCCAGGAATACTTTTATTTTAGTTTCAAGATCATCATTCAGGAGTGTGTTGTTTAATCTCCATGAGTTTGTGTAGTGACTAGGGCTTCTTCCAGAGTTGATTTTAAGCGTTATTGCATTGTGGTCTGATAGAATGCATGGGACTATTTCAATTTTTTAGTATTTGTTGAGGTTTGCTTTGTGCCCCAGTATGTGGTCAATTTTTGAGAAAGTTCCATGGGGTGCTGAATAGAAAGTGTATTCTTTGGTGCTTGGGTGGAATATTCAGAAGATGTCTGTTTGGTCCATTTGATGTTTGGTATCATTTAATTCAGATGTCGCTCTATTTATTGTTTGTCCAGTTGACCTGTCTAATGGAGACAGTGGGGTATTGAAGTCCCCTACTGTTACTGCATTGTGGGTAATCTGTGTCTTAAAGTCCTGTAGTGTTGTTTTAGGAATCTGTGCACCATAGTGTGGTGTGTATATGTTCATGATTATAATATCTTCTTGGTTAATTGTTCCTTTGATCAGAATGAAGCGACTCTCTTTATCTCGTCTGATTAGTTTTAGTTTGAAATGTATTTTGTCAGATAGTAGAATTGCAACCTCTTCTTGTTTGTTAATGCCATTTGCTTGAAATATTCTTTCCCATTCTTTCACCTTAAGGTAGTGCCTGTCCTTGAAGGTGAGATGGGTTTCTTGGAGACAACAAAAATATGGATTTTGTTTCTTAATCCATTCAACTGGCTTGCGTCTTGGCTGGGGAATTCAGCTCATTGATATTTATAATTATTCTTGAAAGATGTGTATTAGTTGCCATCATTTTGATTACTGTTTGCAATCTTTGTCTAATTTTGTGTTTCCACAGTTATACTTTCATTTAGTTTCTTTCTGTTGCCCTTGAGGTATAGTTGTTCATTTCTCTGTTCTTTGTATTGCTTCAGGTATTCTTTGAAGGGCTGGTTTTGTGTGGACATGTATTCTTTCAGCCTATTTGTGTCATGGAAGATTTTTCTTTCCCCTTCAACTGTAATAGACATTTTTGCTGGGTGAAGTGTTCTGGGTTGGCATCTATGGTCATTTAGAACTGGGAATACCTTGGTCCAGGCTCTTCTAGCTTTCATAGTTTGCATTGATAAGTCAGCTGTAATTCTGATGGGTTTTCCTGTGTATGTAAATTGTTTTTCTTTATCAACTTTCAGCATTCTCTCTTCGTTCTGTACATTTAGTGTTTTTACTATGATATGCGTGGGCAGTTTCTTTTCTGGTCCTGTCTGTTTGGTGTTCTATGTGCTTCTTGTATTTGTATGGGGATGTCTTTCCTTAATTTCGGGAAATTCTCTTCTACAATCCTGTTTAAGATCCTGTCAACACCATTAACCTGAGATTCTCCTTCCTCTGTGCCTATGATATATAGATTTTGTCTTTTCATGGTGTTCCACATTTCCTGCATATTTCATTCCTGTAGTTTTTTGCTTCGTTTTGTTTTGTTTTTTTCCATAGCCTTTGCTTGAGCTGTCCAATTCTTCAACTTTATCTTTCAGTATTGATATTTTGTTTTCCATTTCATTCATTCTATCAGTGAGGCTTTCTCCTGTCAGTTCAGATTGGCTCATTGAGTTTTTCACTTCTTCATTTCAGCCTGAGATTTCTTCAGTTTCTCTCTCTTTTGTGAATTCATTCAGAAGTTTATCCCTATCTTCTTTTAGCTCTTTGATTTGTTTGTGTGTTCTTTAAATTATTTGAACTCCTTGATCATGTTTATGATTGTTCTTTTAAATTTTATGTCCTGTGTTATTTCTAGGGGGCCATCCTTGTAGAACTCTTCTATAGGACTTGTGGAGTTTGGTGGGAACATGCTGTTTTGGTTTTCCATATTATCATTTTCCCGTTCAGATTTTGGCATGTGGATTTCTTTTGTTGTTGTTTGTGGGTCTGGTATGAAACTCAAGCCTTCTTTTGTTAAGTTGAAGTTTGCTTCTGTTTGTATTATTGGTGTGCCATGGTTGTTTTCTCATTGGGTGTGTAAAGCTGGTTCGTCTACATTTCAGGTTCTCTCAGATTTTATTTTGGAGAGAACTAATGGCTTTGAATTAGCTACTCAGGAGCTTCCACAGAGGCCCAAGATGGGCTCCAGTCAGGTACACTCTGGCTTCTTTTAACCTCTGGACTCCTACCAGCCGGCATTACAGCACAATTTAGGAAATTTACTAAGGGGAGGCCTGATTTTGGTACTCTAAGACAGTTGCTAAGGTCCCAGCCCCTACCCTACTCTAGGGCAGAGAAGACTACCTCTGGCGAAGTGGGAGGGCCCACACGTAATCCCAATTAGGGGGTTAGGCATGGTGTGATTTGGGGAAGCTCACCACCACGTGGAGGCAAATTCAGGCACTCTCAGGCAGTCTGCTAAGTTCTCAGCCCCTATCCTAGTGGGTTTTTTTGTTGTTGTTTTTTAAACTTTTTTTGTGTATGAGTGTATAGCCTCCTTGTATGCAAGGGCACCCATGTCATGAAATGTCCACAGAGATCTAAAGAGGACATCAGATCCCCTGGAAATGGAGTTTTGGACAGGTGTTAGCCACCATGTGGGTGCTGGGAACCAAACCCGGGTCTCCTGCAAGGGCAGTTAGCACTCTTAACCACTGAGCCATCTCTCCAGCCCCTGTGCTGCCTTTCTTATACAGTCCAATCCCACTTGCCTATGGATGTATGATACCCACAGCAGCTCTCCCGCATTAATCATCAATCAGGACAGCCTCTCAGACATGGCCACAGGCCAGTCTGATTGAGGTAGTCCTTCAGTTGAGGTTCTCTTTTCCTAGGTAACTCTAGATTGTGCCAAGTTAACAGTAAAAACTAACCAGGACAAAGGACTTTCTCAGGAGACTGTCAGAAACCAGAACTCCTGGAGCCCTACAACAGTGACAGAGGGCATGCCTGGAGGATCAGACATGAGAATAGGAGTTTGCAAACTGCAGCTCATAGGCTGCTCCCTGTGTTAGTCCCTTTGGTGGGGCTCTTAATCTCAGGAGTGTCTTTCTCAATATCAAATAAATAGGAAAAGAATAAAGGATGGTAGAGGCCACATACGACCCTTTACCAGCAAAGCTTGATGATCCCTGTACCAGAAAGCCTGTACACCCAGGCCCAGGAACCAATCCTTAGCCCATTGCTTGTGCCACCCTGCCTGTGTTATGCAACCTGTGTTTGCCAGTCCTTTCCCTTCACCACTTAGCTCCCCAGGGACAATCTAGTTCTTGGCTGCTAGATGCTTGTTATGCACCGGAGTTCCTGAAGTCACTACCTTCCCCAGGTGACATTAGAGTAGTTAGTAGTTGATCCACCCTACAGAGATGAACAGTAGTCTGGGTTAAATAAGTAAGTCATTTCCTCCCTAAGGCCACTTTCTTGTCAGGACTGGAAGTCAGAACTTAGCACAGAGCTTAAAAGCACAGGCTCCAGCCTTCTGGAGCTGTTACCGCAGGCAGATCACCCACCCCTCCTGCATTGCACATTTATAAAACAGAGAATAGTGAGCCACCCTTCCTGGGTTTGTTAAGATTAGTAACTGGCATAAGACACCAAGGCCAGGCATGGTGGCATATACTTGTGATCCCAGAACTCAGGCTGAGGCAGAAAGATCAAGGAGTTGAGCAGCCAGCCTGGGCTGTATCATGAGATCCCGTTTCAGCCTCTCCACCCCAGAGAAAAGGAGAAGGCCCCAGAACAGTGCCAGTGGTCTGTAAAAGCTGGCTAGTGTCCATCCTAAGAGGATAGCCCACCCATCTCAGCCTGACAGCAGAGTGCACAACCCTGGTGAGAGTAAGTATTAGAACGGGAAGCCTTTCTTATAAACCAGCCATTTTTTCTGGAGTAGATGGTAAAGGGCTTCTCCAACCGGGCCCGGAAAGCTCGGCTTGCGGAGCCCCAGCTACAGGACTACAATGACCTGGGCCTCTTTGGTCACTGGCAGACAGAGGAGTATCAACCCCCCGTGGCTGTGGACGGAAAGGTAAGGGCAGTCCTATGGGGGTCAGGGCCAGGCTGCTCTGTTCTCCCAACTGGCCACTCCCTAGCATGCCCATCTCTGCAGGTGCCTCGGAATGAGTTTGGGAACGTGTACCTCTTCCAGCCCAGCATGATGCCTGTTGGCTGTGTCCAGATGAACCTGCCTAACCTGCACCGTGTGGCCCGAAAGCTGGGCATTGACTGCGTGCAAGCCATCACTGGCTTTGATTTTCACGGAGGCTACTGTCACCCTGTGTGCGTGAGGGGCCTTTGGTGGCAGATGGGAAGGCCATGGAGACAGATGGAAAACTGTGGGGCCCAGGCTAAGGCTGATTTCTCTTGTTTTCGAGATTTGCCTCTCGGGTTAATATCAGCCTTAATACCTGATCAGTCCTGGCTTCTATCCCGAGCAGCAAACCCAGTGCAGCTAGTGTCCTGTTGCTGCTGGAAGTCTCATCCCAGCTCTCTGCCAGGGTCTGGGGAGAAAGGTGGGAATTCCCACAAGCTGCCTTCTGCATGGGTGATATCCGTCAGTGGCTGGCCAGGAATGGCAATCAGGGCTCCGAGTGCTCAGAAGGGGACCACTGGCCTCTGAACAAGGGAGGAGGGGCAGGGCAGACGCCATGCTCAGGGGAGGTCATCTATGTTGATGTCCTCACAGAACTGAAGGGTACATTGTCTGTGAAGAATTCAAAGATGTACTCCTGGCCGCTTGGGAAAATGAGCAGGCACTCATTGAAAAGAAGGAGAAGGAGGTGAGTAGTGTGGGTGGGACCTGGGGAAGGAGGGGGTAGCAAGCTCTAGCTGGGATACAGCCCCCCTGCCCAGGCCACTCTAGTGTCATGGGAAGACAGATGTTCATGGGTTCTGTGGAGGGTACCCTGGGGACAAGCACGGCTTGAAACAACTCCCTCCATTACTTGGAATGCCCAGGTTTTAGACCTGATCCATGGCATCTTAGTCAGTGACAATTACAAAAGGCTTTGTTCCTGGTGACTTTCATGTGTGTCACTTTCTAAATCAGACCTGTGGTTTAGAAGCAAAACCCATTGTGACTGGGAGAGCCTATCATTTTTTTTCCTTTTTTTCCATTTTCATGTGTATCCGTTATATATACATGTTTGCATGTATGTGGACACACGGGGATGCACATGTGCATGTGGAGACCCAAGGCTGATGTTGGGAATCATCCTCCATCACTCTTCTACCTTACTCTTTGAGTCAGGGTCTCTCAGTCAATCCCAGAGCTCATTGATATGGCTAGTCTCACTAGCCAGCTTGTTCTGGGGATCCCGTCTCTGCTTCTGGGGCTGGAATTACAGGGGGCCTGTCATGCCCATCCAGCATTTATGTGGGTTCTGGGGATCTGAACTCTGGTCCTTAATGCTTGTCTGGCAAGTGCTTTAACTACTAGCATCTCCCCAGCACCAGAGACCCATCTTTTAACCTGAATTGCACAGATACAGATATTAGAACCCCAGGGTTTTCTGGGATGCTTTTCTGCCAATGTCGGTGCTTCTCCTTTCCTCTGCTTTGTTTCCACCTGTAGAAAAGGGAGAAGCGGGCTCTGGGGAACTGGAAGCTGCTGGTCAAAGGACTGCTCATAAAGGAGAGGCTGAAACTCCGCTATGGGGCCAAGGTCAGTGTGGGGCCCTTGGACCTGAAACAAGCCTGGGGTGAGATGCCTAGGGTTATGACCCAGTCACTGGCCAGAATGCTGTCAAAAGTTGTAGGTGGCTTCATGTTAGGACACCTGTGTCTCTCAGGCCAGAGCCTGCCTCTTGGGAGGTGTCCCTGGACCAAGGCCTCAGCTAGCTGTTCCTGCCTGCTGTGCATCCTTCTAGCTGCATTGGGTCTGGTTTGCTGGGAAGTGTGCTGGGCTCCCAACATCTCCCCCTGTTTTGTTTTATAAATGGAGAAGTGTCATCACAAGCTTTAAGAGCCAACTCATCTATCTCAGGAGAATCCAAAGTTTTATAATTGACCATGACCTGCTTGGTAGTAATTTTAGCAGTGGTAGTAATTTGTAAGAAATTCTATGAAACAGAGAGCAAGCATCAAAATAACATAATCAGGGGACTATTGATATTGTAACATTTTCCCTCTGAAGAGGTAACCCCAAAATCTTTTTGGGATAAGAGTGCACAAATACTTTTAATGTTTTTGGCCTTTGGGACAGACTACTTTACCAAAAGGCCCAAGGGAATTTGGACTTTTAGCCAAGAAAGAAACTGGTTACTTTTCTTTGGGGTCTTTTTGCCCTAGCTGCCTAGCCAATTTCTATCTCCTATTTTTATCATATCACCCTCTGAAGAGGCTCATCCAAATTGCCAATAGGGAATTGGGATGCAGACCGCTCTGGTTTCTTCCATGCTGAACAGGGATGCAGGGTGAGGCAATTAGGGCACCCCCTTCAGTGTGTCTATCTAAAAGACTCCCAAATTACATATCTCTTAGCTATAGGGAGAAAAGAAAGGTGTTTGGTGCCTGGGAGATGTGAAGGAAAAGTAAAGGCAAGAGTAGTTAGTATTACAGTTTCTAGGCAAGGAACCAGAAAATGTCCAAATTAAAGTCCATTGGAATTTCTTGATGAGGGCTCCCAAAAGCATCCATCTAACAGGTTTTTGGTTGTTTTTTTTTTCATTTTTCTTTTGCCTGCCAAGGCTGGATTGCCTGCCAAGGCTGGAATGATCGATGAACTCAGGATTTGTTGTTAGGCACTTTGATAACTGCTGGAGTGGCTAGAATCAGCTCCCTCTTAAATGGCCTCTAGATAGGGAGAGAAAACAAATTTAGCCATCATTTTAGAATAGTGAGTTGTTTCCCTCAGCTGAAGGTGGGCACTACAGAATTGTAGACCAAGATTTAAAGTCCTATACCTGAGTAGCACTGTCCTATTAGGAACAAAATCACCAATGAGAAATG